TAAATGTACACATAAATTGAAATTTTTTTCTTATTTTTTTTAAACACACATTTTCCAAAAAATACTATTCCGAAATATATTTTTCCCCCAAAATGAAGCTCAAACAATGGCATAATTTACTTAGAGAATTATGGGCATGGACACAATGCTAACGGACTTTATATATATATATGTATATATATGTATTTGAATATCTGAACAACGTAGCAATGTAAGAGTATTTTTCATTGGATCAGAAAGAGCTTTGTTATGAAAGGACGTGACAAACCTAAAAATTTCATTTTGAATAGCATGACAATTCTAAAAGGAGCAACGATATAGAGTAATGTTATTTAACACCAATAATGTCAAGCATCCATCTAGGTTGCAACTACATGCCATTAAATAATAAATTCACTTAAATACAATGTCACATGATTCATTTAATTGAACATATCAAGTATGACCACTGAAATAGATACTTTAACACCATTAGTGTTGAATAACATTATTCAAAAATATAAGCCTTCATGTGAACACTTGTTCCAATTACAGTTAAATCTCGATAAAGTAATGTTCAATAAAGTAATAACCTCGATTATATAATAATTTCTTTTGATCCCGACTTGGGCCAATGGACTAAAGTAATAAGCTCGCTAAATGCATTAAGTAATAAAAAAAAATTGAATCCTTAAGGGCCCAATAAAAATTATAAAGTAATAATTACTGGATTTCATTGAGAAAAAAAAAATATATATATAGATCAAAATCTTTCAATCAATCAACAATACCCGTACAATAATCATTCCTTTTGAAAATATGCATCTATAGTTGATTGTTTTTTCTTCCCACCTAAACCAAAATGAACCAAATCCTTAACTTTTTGTAGAGCATACACAACTTTCGGAATATTTTGCTCGTGTTGTAGCAAGTAGTTGCTTAAGGTGACTATTGTTTGAAATGCCTCTTTTGACGACACATTTGGAACAACGTTACTATAATCTGGTTCAGGATCATTCTCATTATCATTACTGTTCATTACTGATTAAATAATTTCTTCGTCTGTAGGTGATTCCATAACTGCATCATTCTCGCTAGAATAGTTCAAAAGATGTTCAACATCCATCACATTTCTATAGTGTAAATTAGAGATGACATCATTTAATCCTTGGATACCTTCATCTAATTCACCAACTTCTGGTTTTGGAACATTGTTTTCTTTTGACCAAATCTTGCAATGCCTAAAACAATTTGCAATTATTGTTGTCTTCACATCAAAATTCCAAGCCATGTTAGCAAAATTAATAGCATTCAACATATTTATTTTTTCAGGATTTGATGCTTCAACCTCAAGACCTTGTAAGATGCTAGAATAAAAACGACGATGATAATGAGCTTTGAATACTCGAATAATCCCAGCATCACATGGTTGAATCTTAAACGTTGTGTTAGGAGGTAAGAAAAATAACTCTACATTTCTCAAGCCTTCAACTACCTTTGGATGAGTTAGGCAATTGTCTACTATTAAGAGAACCTTTCTGCCATTTATTCTCTTGTCAAGCCAACCAACAAAATTTTGAAAAAGCAAGCCAGTCATCCAAGCTTTCTTGTTGGATCGATACTTGCAGTTAAGACTGTTTATGTTCACATTTTTAAAGCATCTAGGATTTGCATACTTATTAATAACCTAAAGTGGTACTTTGTCAGATCCATCATCATTGCAACAAACAACAACAGTAATTCTCTCCTTATCTTTTTTGCGTCCTTCGAGCTGTTTGGTAGCAAGTGAATGATCAGCTTCCAATCGGTAAAATAATCCAGTTTCATCCATATTGTAAATATCTTTCAACTGAAACTAGTCTAGTTTTGATCGTATTCCAGGTAAAGTATTTTCAATGTTCTCCATGATAACTGAATCACTTTCACCAAAACGTCGGTAAGATTTGATTCCATATCTTGCCTTGAAACGTTCTAACCATCCACTAGAAAAGCTGAATTCTGGATTAGTTTCACCATACGTTTTTTGCAAAAGCTCTTTTACTTTTCCTTGGATAATTTCTCCAGACATGTTCACTTTATCTTGCCTTTGAAGAAACCACTCATACAAAACTTTCTCTAAATCAGGGTATTTTGCCGATTTGTGTCTTTTAACATCGCTATTTTTCATCTTATTTGACAAATATTCTGACGCCCTTTTGAGAGTGTTCGATATTGTTGATTGACTAATAGTCAAATCAAACTTTTGTTGCACCGATGCTTGCATATCTTTTTGGCTAATAGTTGGATTCTCTTTCTTATGCTCATATATTGCACTCCTCATTTTATCGGTTAAAGTTGATTTTTTAACTCCTTTCAAATGATGAGAAGACATTGGAGGGGAAACAAAATATTGTGTGTGCTTGGAATATGTCTTTCAAAAATCTAACTTTTATAGGTAAAAACTAAACATTTTCATTTGCTATGTACGTGAACTTAGGTTTTAGAGACATTAAGTTTCACTAAAACTTTTGAGCTTCCCTAGATTTAAATAATATTTTGATTAGTGTCTTTTGATTTTTCTTACCACATACAATGTACATATTTTATATTGAAAAGCTCTCTCTAAAATAATAAATATTTATTTATTGATAAATGAATAATTTATTCATTTATCGATAAATAAATAATCTTGCTACATGAATATTTTTTTCCGGTCCCAAGGGTATTACTTTATCAAGGTTTAACTGTAAGTTTTATTATATCATTAAGATCGTACCAATATGTTTATGATCACATCTCTGTTGTCCACATGATTGGTTATGCCCAGTTATTGATCCCATTCAAACACCTTCATCTAAGTCCCTTTTTGAGCTCAATTATAAAAAAAACCTCATTTTTTTTAAAATTCATTTTCAATCGCACATTTTCTTAATAAAATAATTTTACACATAAATCTAAAACTTTTTACTTAACAAAACTCATTTCTTAACAAAAAAAAGGAGCTCAAATAGAAGCTAAACATCCTTTTCAATCGAGAATTAGTATGTAGGTGCCACGTGCACACGAGTCATCGCTCGTGTTAAGTTTAAACCACAAAGTGTAAACCAAGCGCTGATATAGTGATGCTAAATCTACATAGTCTTGTCAAAGATCACTAATCTATGCCACTTCCTTTGGGATACTAATACACTGTTGGTGGCTTGGAGTAATGTTTGCTTGCCGAAACACGAGGGTGGCCCTGGATTTAGAGACATAAAATGCTGGAATGACGAGTATCCCCCATATCTCTTAGCAGAGTGAAAGCAGCTTGGAACACAACCGAGGACATATTAAAGCACTTTTTTCAAATCCCTTTTGAAATATCCATAGTTAGAAAGACACGATGTGGATTAAATGGATGAATCAAATTTACCTCTTGGGGATTGTATTTGGAAGTGTATGGCAAGGAAAGATCACTCTCCTTTGATCAAAAAGCTGCTGGACATTCGAAATCAGCTTAGAAGACCAGAACTCACTAATCACGTGCTATTGATAGGCTGTCCAACTGTACAGCTTCTAGCCGATTTTCCATTGACAACGCTTATCAGTTTTTTAGGCCCAAGGGGGAGAAAAAGAACTAGATGGGGGAGACTAGGAGACCTCCCATCACTCCAAAACACTCCATGTTGTGGTTGGTTGTGCAATCTAAACTCCTTACGAAGAACAAGTTGATGCATCTAAACATCGACAAGATGTATGTCTTTCGTGTTTCACACCTTGAAATATGTCAGCACTTACTTTTTCCACGTGTTTGGACTTCATGCATCTGGTGACAGATCAAAGGTTGGTTGGGAATGAGAAGATCAATGACTACAATACTTAGTGCATTGAAGTAAATAAAGAAAGAAGCCCAATGCACATCATAGCAATCTAGAGCCAAGAAAATCGCACTTGCTTGCACGATCTACCAAATTTGGATGACATAAAATAGAATGATTTTTTAGGATCTCAAGCATGCATTGATAGTATAATGAGACAAATTAAATCACATGTATACAAAGTCATATTCTCTTTCTATCTTAATGTTTTGGATCATTTTGAATCTCTAGCATTGTGTCGATAGATGTTTGTACATCTTTTGATTTTTTATTTTCCCAAGTATATCCAATGTACTTGTACATGAGTTTTAATTAGTAGAATTTATATTTATTGATCAAAAAAAAGAAAGAAAAAATAAAGAAAAGCATTCAACACATACTGATGAAGTTAAAAAAATAATAATAAATAAATAAATCCCGTAAATTATTGGCATATTAATAGAGATGCCCCTTTTTGGCCATGAAGTTAAGATAATACTCCTTTAGCTAGACCAAACAATGGATTACACATTTTTCACTTTTCTTCAGCCAGAATCAGCCTGTATTTAAAAATAGCCAAAATCTCTCTTTGCAGAGCATCATTCCAACTTCCACGACACTATTACTGTTTTAGCCAAATACAATGTAATTTTTCACTGCCCACTTGTCAAGCTTCAATTCACCACTTTTTAATTTAGCGGCATGATGAAAAGAATTCTGTTGCCAACTTGGAAAAAGAACATGTTCAACTTAAAGAGAGGAACACATGCATGTTTGGGTGAGCTTATAAGCTACTTTTCAAAAAGCTATCTTATAAGCTCACCTAAACATGTGGCACCTCGGGCCACCAGGACAGATGGTCGCTACTTTTATTAGCGTGACTTGTAATTCCTTGAAATGCTTAATATAACAATCTAAAGTGCTTATAACAATCATAATAAGCAACTTACTAGAAAGTGGTTACAGGTAGTATACAAGTATTCCAGTACTCGGGAAGACCATAAGACTCCACGAAAATATCATATCTGACCAAATGAAGGAGTGTTGCACAAACCTGCCTCTCAAAGTCTAGGATAACAGATATCATCGTCCACATCAAAATTGCTTAGAATTATGCCAAGTAAGAATGAGGCAAAAGATATTGTTACAAGAACAAATAACAACAGTCTGCGCACCAGATAGCAGTCCCTTTCATGCCTTAACAACTGAGAGAATGTAACCTGCCATTGCAGAATGCACAAGTTCAAGTTTTAGATATCATTACATTGTAATGCAAAAAATAAAACTTGTAAGACACTTGTGCAGCCAAAATCTTGCCAAGAGCATTCTATGCCAAAACAGTGTGCACCAAAGGTAAAACGAAATCAATATTTTATTTAACTGTAAATGCCATTGTTCCAGGCAACCCTAGTATTTGCACATTCAGGGGTTGTTTGTCAAAGCTTTTTGATAAAAGTTTAGACAAATTTTGCTAAAAGTTGATAAAATTTGTGGGTCTTATAAAATATGTGGTTAAAATTGAAGTCTGATCGGTTGAAAAGTTGATAAAATTTTAGCAAATGTTTTATCAAACAAGCACTTAGCTTTTGACAAGTAACTTGTCCCAACCAGGTTTTCTGGGAGATGAATAGTTTCAAAAATTAAAGCATTGCCACCAGTGGATTTTATTTGATAATAAGGTCATTACAGAAGCTATCTTGACAAACTTTCTCAAAATAAGACAAATATAAAGGTGCCCATGTGTAAGCAGAATGTAGAATCGGTAAACTGTCCTTTGGTGCACCAGGGGTGGTCAATGATTTGTAAAGATATCAGTTGATTAGATCAGTGGTTTCACGACGATTTCAAAATCTGTACTAGATAATGGCTTCACAATATATTGAATAACACCCTACCCATAATATCCTTTCATTTGATGGTTGAAGTATGAATATTTATTACTTCCCAATAATATTTTAGCATGTTTCTTGTATGAATATTTATTACTTCCCAATAATATTTTAGCATGTTTCTTGACGTCTTCAGCATTAAGGTGCATCTATATTAAACTCTTCGGTTAACATGCCATAGTCTGAATAAACATGACAAGATATAAGGCTATGACCCTCCAGATGGTCATGACTTCACTTTATTACAGCTTAGCAACTCCCGAACACTAATTCACAACAATTTACTAAGCACCAGTAGTATTTTCACTTAGAATATGTATTATTTCTTGAAATTTAACTATTTCAGTGCCCTATTTATGTACATCATCTTTGAACCCATACAATGTTTAGCTTATCGATTGCCAAGAAGGGTGTTCCTTTTTTATTTGCATAACAACTCAAGAGGCAACCTTACTACTGAAACTTTAAGAAGATTGACATGATTTGCATCAGATTGCGCTCCCTTTGCCCCCAAAGAAAAAGAAAACAAAAAAAAAAAAAAAAAAAAAAAAAAAAAAAAAAAAAAAAATTTTAAAAAAAAGGAGAAGAAAAAAAAAAAAATAAAAAAAAAGGAAAACGGAAAAAAAAAGAAGAGGAAGAAGAGAAGAAGAAAAACAGAAATTTCCAAAAATCACACAATCGGCTGTGAGGTAGTTCTTCATGGTGGAATTTTTTCACAAGTTTATTTAAAGTAGAGAGAGACTACTGGTGCTTACTGTTTGAGGTCCTGGAGAAGCAGTAGAGAGTTGCAGCTGATTACAGGACATGGAGTTAGCTCCGCATTGCTTGATGTTTGGTTTTGCGAAAGAAGCAAAACATAAGTAGCGGATAAGTAACGACACAAATCACATCTTTTGACTTAGGTTTTTTGTTTCTACTGTGTAGCGACTGCCTTAAATAATGAGGGAACTTGGATTAACTTAAAATTACAAGGTTGAAGTTGAAGTTTGCAAAACAAGTACTTTGGTTGTCTAATCATTTCTCCGTGCAACAATATGTACGAAACATAATACAGTGATGATAGGATTATATCAATCCTTACGAATTCCTTGTTCTAAGTTGAAGTTCCTTAAAGCCATCCGTAAAGGCTTATGCCTCCATGATAGGCCCTGATTAAATAAACATATTCTAGAAGGATCAAGAAGATGGGTGAAGACTAGGGCTGCAACAAACTCTACTAGAGGGGTTGAAGGGAGGGAATATTAGTTACAAGTAGCTTGTAAATAGGGACGAGTTGGAGGAGAATAGACACGCAAATTAGTGAGTGAAAACTATATTGTCAAGAGTACAACCCTCTCAAAAGGTTGATTGTATTTCCTTTATTTTTGTAATTCATCTTACCATCAGGACATTTCTATAATTTCTACAATTATTCATCTGTTTCATTAAATCCTGGGTTGCTTCTCACCAAAATGGTATCAAAGCAATCATTCTAGCCTGGGGTATTATATCTCATGAAGAAAAGCAAGTAGTAGATCAAGTCGATAAGTTGGAGACGAAAATTGATGGAATTCAGTTGGAAGTACAGGAAGATCTGAAAACACTGGAATCGAAAATGAAGAGAGAGATAGCTAGGATGATGGAGAAGCTCGACTTGATGATGGAAAAAATGAGGCGAGCAGAGGCCGAAAAAGGTCTTGCAGCTGCACTGCCTGAATCAGAGAAAACAGGGGCAATTATTCACAGCCATAACTGCAGAGAAGAACCTGGTAAGGCAGAGGCACACGATCTAGGTTGAAAATGTTGGTTTCGGAAGGAATGGCAACTCCATTGCCGGCAATCTCAGATGCAGTGAAGGAAGGGGATGGGTAGGAGCGTGAAGGGAAAGAGAGAGGACCGACAGCTATACCTTCTAAAGCCAACTTCAATTCTGAAATCCTACCCACCAAACTTGATGAAATCAGAACTACTAGAGGCGGTCGAAATTGCAGGGAGTACCGAAAGCCGTTCGAAATCAAGACTGCTCTTTTGCTGTCGCTACTAGAAGAGGAATTTGATGGTAATCTCGTCTATGGGCTGAAATAATGGGATTGGGTTGAGGTCAAGAGTTTGCCTGTAGGTGTGGGCCAAAATATGGAGTTAGTCCAAAAGGTCGAAGACAAGAATGAAAAGAAGTAGGCCGATTTAAACCTAAAGTTAATGCCTATAACCCATTCCCTGTCCACACACGTAACCCAGCTCACCATGCACCACATCAAACCAACCCAATCAACACAAAATCCACTACCACCTCTGTATTCTGTCTAGCCACGATAAAAGGAGGACATCCCTTTAAAATATTGACAAACGATGAGTTAAGGAGGAAGAGGGAAAAAGGGCTTTGTTATGGAGTTGATGAGAAATACATTCCAGGTCATCCTTGTTGAAACAAGGAGCTGCAGGTTTCGATGGTACAAGCGGAAAAGGGAGTAATCAATTGGGAGCTCAAGAAGGGGATTTTCTGGGATATTCTTCGTTGTTCTTGAGGTATTTGGTGCCTTGCAAAGTGGGTTGGAGTGAATTTTATGAGAACGGCCATGGGAGTTTATTGCCAAACAATGAGATAGAAGAAATAGTTTGGGAAATCATTGATAACAAATTTGGATGGAAAGGTGGCTACAAAAGTGGCTGTATTTTTAATACCATCAATGGTGTGGAGGTTGTTGATACGTTAGGGTTGTTAATTAATTCAACAGTTGCACAAGAAGAGGGGTCATGGAGTTGACTGATTACGCTACCTTCCACCATGGTACTCTGATTCGCTGGTGTCATTTTCAGGAAAACCCGCAAAGGGGTGCGACAGTTTATGGGATTTGTATGGATAACATTCTAAGTGTAGGTGATCAGAGAGGACTTCCTAACTACTTTTGGATTAAAATATCCCATTTCGACATTTGCCTTGACATTCTTATCAAAGAAATGGTTCAGTTATATGGAATTCTAAATGTCGAAGTTGAATCACACTTTCACCTTAAGGACAAGGTGAACTTTGGGGCGGCGGGTAACTGATAGGCCCCAATTAAATAAACACATTCTAGAAGCATCAAGGGTGAAGACCCAATTAAATAAACGCATTCTAGAAGCATCAAGGGTGAAGACTAGTGCTGCAACAAACTATGTTACAGGGGTTGAAAGGAGGGAAAATCAATTACAAGTAGCTTATAAATAGGAAAGAGCTGGAGGAGAATACGTACGCAAATTAGTGAGTGAAAACTAAATTGTGGAGAGTATAGCCCTCTCAAAAGGCTGATTGTTTTCCTTTATTTCTGTAATTCATCTTACCATCAATACATTTCTATAATTTCTACAATTATTCATCTATTTCATTAAATCCTGGGTTGGTTCTTATCACTATACTTGGAAAAAATCAAGAATATTATTCTATTTTTATTCATTCCAGTATTATCAATAGTTGCTGATTTCAAAGATAGATTTCTCACTTTCTTGATTCTGTACTTCATATGAATTACACGTAATTCTGCCACCACTAACTACAAATAAACTCCGCAAAAGACTTACTTAAATATTGCAGTTTAGATACAGAGACATGGAACATGTTCTCATTTCAATGTTGATAACCAAAATCAATGGGTACGAGTAGTCTTAATATTTTGATGATTCCTAAATCACTAAAACAAATTCTACCAAAATAACTATTTTATGTAAAATTTGGAAAGGAATAGATTTTCAAACAACATCTCAAAGTCTAATTATGTTACTTCCTCTCAGAACCACATGGAGACGTGTCAGCAGAAGAAGAATTAGTTATTTTAAATGAAATGGGGAAATAGTTAGGTACATTGCTTATTCATATCTTCAAATGTATGAACTACTATATATCTCAAAAGAGTTTGCGACAGATTAAGTTTCAAAGAGTTTCCTTTTAGCGTATCTTCGGGACTCTTTGTCTACACCAAAACTAAGGTCTTGACTTCAGGAGTTTATGAAGCTTAGCCAACCAAATGAGACACACACCCTACATGGACACATCAAAAAATGTTTGAACTTGCTAAATTTAGTGACATTCACTTATCTGTATACCCATTCTCATCTTAACCACTTCCCTCTCAAACACAAATACCCAATTATTCTCAATCTCTTTCTCTAGTACTCTTTATGCAATTATAGGAAACATCAAGAAACCAATTCAATAATTCCTGCCAAAACTAAGATGTTCCTTTAATCATATTTCAATGTGGACGCAAAAGCATGCAAAAGATAGCCATGAGAGACCTAGGACACATTTGCCTCATTTCTACGACCAAGCTTATACAATAAACAGGTGGAATATTTAATAATGCCAAAAGAAAATAAAACAAAATACAAACTTAGAAGGGGACATAACATAAAGCCCAACCTCCAGTCGATGAAAAAAGAGAGAGTAGCACAATCAACCAATCCAGTGGAGACATATGGCTCATTGAGATAAATATTTCTTCAAATTTCTCAAAAACAGATTTGTATTTTTAGAAAAGAACCTTCAGCAACTATAATTGATTAAAAGCAACCATTCAAGAACACATTATATGGCAACTTTCGCAATTCTCACAGATATCATTTCATTATTTTTAAACGGCCAACAAGGGAAAAGACATGTATTACCTCAAAAATAGGAAAGCAGTGCTATCACCCAAGCAATCTAACTCTTGAAAATGAGGTAAAGCAGTTCAATAACCAATATGGCTAGGATCTCCAATATATTCTGCAATTTGTTCAAGCCGAACATTGACAAACTCCTGTGTATCAGCATCCTGAACTAAACCAGTCTCCTTCTCCAAATCGCGCTCCAGCAAACTCCCATACACACCCTTGTGTCTACCATACAATACTAATACTTTGCCTCCACGTTTTGGAATCGCAGTCTCCAATAAGTCCTGATCCACACCTTGTACCAACTCCCCACTCTCGTCCATTGAAATATCACAAACCCCAGGCCCCACCACATCCATTACCACCCCTTTTTTCAGATACAATCTCCCACCCTTCAATACCTCACTTACTATTCTCACCCTAATATGATTCCTTAACCAATTCACTCTTTCACTACCTATTCTTCCTTCTTCTCGGCCCCTTTTACTTGAAGAAGTTTTATCGCTTTTATCTTTACTGCTGTTTTTCTCTTTAACCTTCAACTCCTTTAATTTCCTTAAGCATTTCTCCTCCTCTGCAGAACCCACCTCCACCACATCCTTAACACGCACCTTCACCTTCTCCCCACTTCTTGACATCCTCAAAACCAATAAATCTCCACCACTTCTCACCTCAATGATTTTACCCTTCATCCCCATCTCGCTCCCTTTCACCATCCTCACCTCTTCCCCCACATCAAGCCCTTTCTTTTCCTTTGCATCCTCCCCCTTATTCTGCCTGACATCTCTACTCCCAAAAGCCTCACCAGCATTACTGTCATTGCCATTTTGATTGTCAGGTAATTCCCCCTCATACCCTAATCCTCCTCTACCAGCTCTTTTTTTAACCTCAAGAATCTTGGTATCCTCCTTGGCATTGCGGCCAATGCCCCTGTCCTTATTCCACCCATACCCTGATAGTAAAGCCGCACCAAAGCCCTCCACGGGCATATCTGTATATTCATCAACCCCAGCATCCTCCGGCAACTTATCCAAATCCTCCCTCAACTTCCTCAACTCCAAGTCCGAAATTGGCAAATTCAATTCTTCACCGGGATCATCTGCAGAACCACCATTAACACCCGATGGTTTACTACGAAGATTGAGCCCGTAAGCCATCGACTTATCGGAAGAATCGGGATTCCCGTCAGACACAACCTCAAATTGGAGAGTATTTTCGCCATCAGACTTTAGAGAGGGAAGATTGGGTAGGTTTTTGAGCTTTTTATTGGGACGCCATTGGTTGGGAATAGGGGGAATAATTTTAGGTTTGGATTGGGGATCCACCAGGGATTCAGCCGAGTCGAACTCCGTGACATAATTTTTGTCGGTCGAATCTGCAGCGGACGGCCCAGCATCGGCGGCAGAGAAGGATTGCGAGGGCTTTCTAGAGCGATTGGATTGAGATTTTGAAGGTAGAGAAAAAGAGAGCTTCATTTAATACTTGTATAGTTTCAGCGGGTGAATGAATCAAGAAGCGAAATCCTTGCGTCGATTCAAGGATTTTACGAGAGAAATTAGAGATTTGATACGTAAATTCTAGGGTTGATATTTGAATTGGGGAAAATTGAAGAGAATTGGGACCGGAGGTGTCTCTTTTTGGAGTTAATTGTTCCAATCGTCACGAACTTAGTGTCATGTCTTTGATTGGCCACTAAATTTTAAAATGTCAAGTTTTGATCACTAAACTTAATTCCATGTCTTTAATTGATCACTGAACATTTTTGAAAAATGTCGAGTTTTAATTACTGAACTTAGGTCCATCTCTTTGATTAGTCACTGAAATTTAAAATATCAAGTTTGGACCACTGAATTTTGAAAAATATTGTATATTACTTGTTGAATTTTATAAAATGTTGTACATTATTCACTGTAAACTTGATATTTTTCAAAATTCAATAATTATGCTAATGAGTAACGTATGACATATTTCAAAATTCAGTGACCAAAACTCGACATTTTAAATTTCAATGAACAGTCGAAGACATGGACCTAAATTCAATGACCAAAACTCAATATTTTTCAAAGTTCAGTAGTCAAACTAGACATTTTAAAGTTCAGTGACCAATCAAATATATGGACCTAAGTTTAGTGACCAACTTCAAAGTTAAATCTTGCTTTCAATAATACAAAAATTTAGTCCCACCTAAAATTTCAATAACTTAAAAAAAAAAAATAATAATAATAAAATTACTCGACTTCACTTGACAATCCTTTTGAGCTCGACAAGGACACTGCTTTCAATGAGTCCTTCAAAAGTACTGATGAACTTTAGGGGATGTTCAATTAACTTCCAAAAAAATTAACGGAAGATTTGATGATTTGTTATCATCGTCAATGGTGATTTCCGTTTTACATCATCAGCGACATACACGAATTTAATGGGGATTTTGAAATGAATTCCCCACCAAAAATGAAAGTTGAAGGTAATACTGTCAGAAAATGAAGGTTAATGACAACCCACCGCGAATAAATGAAAAGTTGAAGATAACATGGTCAGAAAAGGAAGGTTAATGGCATCATTATTTTACTATTATTTTTTTCCTAATAAATAAATAATTATTCATGTAATCAAAACCCAAAATACCCTTTACTTTAGCCATAAAATGCTATCTAAAACCATAAAAATGGGGTTAATTATATGAATGGTTACTGAACTTTGTCAAGTGTTATTATTTGATTGAACTTAAAAATGTATCTCGATGGTTACTGAAATTCGTCAAATGTTACTACTTCATAACTGAACTTAAAATGTATTTTTAATAGTCACAGAATTTTGTACCTTATTACACATTCATCGCTCAAATGTTCAAAAAAAAGCGCCGACATAAGTGGAGGATGGGTAACACTGTATATAGTTCAATGATTATTGAGATATATTTTTAAGGTCAATTATGAAGTATAACATTTAACAAAGTTCAATGACTACTGAAATACATTTTTAAATTCAATTATTATATAATAACAATTTCTTTTTCTCTCGCATCGACCTCTGTGAAAGATGAAACTAAGAAAGGGAAAGGAAAAAAATTGAAAAATCAATACCTCGGTCACCTTGACACTAATTTGAATATTTTTTTACTTTTATTTAATTTTTCCATGTCTCTTTTTCAATCTTTTTATGCGTAGTTCGGGAGACAATGAGCTAATACTAGCTAATCTAAAAATCAAACGTACATTTTATTACGATGGATGGACATTAGCAAAAGTTCTAGTTTTATTCAATTTATAGGTCTCTTTATTTTTAGTTTATTTTTATTCGAAATACTTAATAATTGAATTTAAAAATGTATCTCAATGGTCAATAGATTTCATCAAGTATTACACATTCATAATTGAATTTAAAAATATATTTCTCAATAGTCACTGAATTTTGTTAAGTGTTATAAGTTCTTAACTAAATTAAAAATATATCTCAATAATGATCATTGAATTCTGTACAATATTACACATTCATTACTCGACTCGATCCTACTTGTTGAACCTAATGAATTTTTTCACTTGAGTGATGGGGGAATAACACGGTACATATTTCATTGATCATTGAAATATATTTTTAAGATTAATTATAAATTTGTAATATTTGACTAAATTTACTTGCCACCATACGGATGAATAATTAGTAATAACAGTTGGCAGAACTTAGGGCTGTTTGTCTGTCATTATGGGAGGAATATAGAGTTTTGAATAATATTTTTTGAAGAATGTATGGTAAAAATTTAAAGAATTTCGTGTGTAAAATATTTTGTTTTGTGAATATGTAACATTGGATGATATTATAACAAATAATTTGATTTGTTAAAAGCAAGACAAAGTGAGGCTTAATTAACCCCCATAAAAATGCTTCCCCCTTGAACGGTTAAATCGCGGCTGCCAATCTCTTCGTGTCCATCTTCTTCTTCTTCTTCTCATCCGAAGTAGAGCAAAATGGAGGCACAAGAGCAAGAAGAACAGGAGCAATTGGTGACTCCATGGGAAGTATCGGCCGAAAAGGGGGGCAAAATTGACTACGACAAGCTTATTGACAAGTTTGGCTGCCAACGCCTCGATCAGTCGCTGGTCGACCGCGTTGCGGGCCTCACCGGCCGTTCGCCCCACGTGTTCCTCCGAAGAGGGGTATTTTTTGCGCACAGAGATTTCAGTGACATTCTGGATGCGTATGAGAAGGGAAAGAAGTTTTATTTGTACACTGGCCGGGGTCCATCCTCCGAGGCCTTGCATTTGGGTCACCTTGTGCCGTTCATGTTCACCAAGTAATTGAAAAATTTTGAATCTTTATTTTGTTTTCTGTTTGAATTGAGTTGTTGTGTGTTTAACTGGGAGTCTGATTGAATTTGAAATAAGATGCAGCTCATAAAGCTTTATGTAAAATGTTCTTTTAAATTGTTACTTTTTAATACGCCTCCCCCCCCCCCCCCCCCCCCCCCCCCTTCTCCCTCTTTTCTATTTTTTTTTAAACCCCCCCCCCCCCCCCCCCCCAACCTCGGATTTGCACTCGATCATTTTAGGTTGGTGGGGATGACCGGAAGAATGACTTGTTTTCGGATGAGTTTACAAGGGACTGCTTTTTTTGTGAATATGGCACAGGCAATCCCTCTGTAATGAATAGAAATATTATGCCTTGAAAGAGTTCGAGTTAATTAAGTGTGATATTATGTCTCTCTTATGTGGATTAGAACGGTAGCATTTCGAGCAATTTCCCCTTAAAGGTGAACAACTAACATTGTGTATGCTTTGATGTTGTTCGATGCAAAGTTGCTTAGAAATTTGTCGTCTAATTACCTTCATGGCCAGTAATTGATTGAACATTTTTGCCTATATGTGAATATGAGACAAATAAATGAAAAGGTAATGGAAGATAAATGATAACAATGTTTTCGAAAATTTAATCTTCTACATAAATTTTGTAAGGCATGGTCCGCAATTAACTGTTATATATTTTGTGGTAAAAGCTGCCATTTTTTGAACCTTTTGCATTCTCCTTGCTGAAAAAAGTACCACGTGAATCTGATAGGATTCCAAAAGAACACTCAATCTGAAATGGAAATTAATTCGGATATATTGCAGAAATTACAAGTAAATGGACTAATACGGGACTCCTATGCCTTACTCAATAATTGCCTGCTATCTTTACCTTAAGCCCCCCTATTTATAACCTGTTTCTAACAAACTTATTCCCCTCCCCACATGCTCCTAAACAGAATTTAGTTATCCCCTGTGCCAACTGATTTTCCCCCCTTCTTGAATCTTCTAGAATAGGTAAAGTGGACGGGGGGCCTAACACTATCCCCGGTTTCCAAACACACCTTGTCCTCAAGGTGGAAGTCGGGGAAGTGTTGTAAGATGGAGTCCACTGATTCCCAAGATGCTTCTGTCGTCGGCAGGCTTTTCCATTGTACCAGTACTTCCCTGGAGGTTGACCTGACTGTGCAAGACGTATGTCCAAAATTTGCTTTGGTTCCACAATCCATTCCAAGTCAGCAGTGAGTTGCTGGGGAAGAAATTGATGCGCTGTGTTTGATCCCAGGGCCTTCTTCAATTGGGATACATGAAAAACCGGATGTATTGTTGCGCTGGGAGGCAAGTCCAGACGATAGGCTACTGGTCTAATGCGTTTCAGCACTTTAAACGGGCCAAAGTATTTAGGCCCCAGCTTCTCATTAGGTCGTTTTGCCAAAGAACGTTGACGGTATGGACGTAGCTTGACATATTCTAAATCCCCTTCATCATAATGAACATCCCTTCGACGTTGGTCTGCTACTAACTTCATCTTATCTTGGGCACGACTAAGATGAGCCTTCAGTTCATCCAACATTAAATCCCTTTGCTGCAACTGATGTTCAACAGATTGTACCTTAGTGGTTTGGCTACCATAACGAATCAGAGGCGGGGGGTTCCTTCCATAAACAGCCCGAAATGGAGTGGTATTTGTAGAAGTGTTAAAAGTCGTATTGTACCAATATTCAGCCCACGGAACCCAAGTGGACCAGCTCTTAGGTTTGTCATAGGAGAAACATCGAAGAAATGTTTCAAGGCATCTGTTGATAACTTCAGTCTGCCCATCCGTTTGAGGGTGGTAGGCGGTGCTCCGGCGTAGAGTTGTTCCCTGTAGGCGAAAAATCTCCATCCAAAAATGGCTCAAGAAGACCTTATCCCAGTCGGAGATAATGGAGTTAGGAACACCATGAAGCCGTATGATTTCTTTAACAAAGAGGGCTGCCACCCCTGGGGCTACGAAAGGATGCTTCAGAAGGAGGAAGTGGGCATATTTGCTCAGTCGGTCGACCACTACCAGCAAGGCATTGTATCCACCAGATGTGGGGAGGCCTTCAACAAAATCTATGGAGACATCTTCCCATATTTGACTGGGTATTGGCAGTGGTTGTAAGAGCCCGGCAGGAGAAAGGGCAAGAGACTTGTTTCGCTGACAAACCGCACATTCTTCCACAAACTTCCGAATCTCTTTCTTCATCCCTTTCCAGTAGAGATTGCTGGCCAATCTTTTGTAGGACCGTAGGAACCCAGAGTGTCCCCCCATGGTGCTGCTATGGAATTCCTCCAAGATAGAAGGAATCAGGGGAGAAGTTTGAGGAATGGCAAGGCGACCTTTGAAAAGTAACTTGCCTTGCTCGACGAAATACCTGGGGTAAGCATCCGGGTCTTCTTGTAAAGCATTCATCATCTTTGAGAGTAACGGATCATTTTTAACCTGATTGCTTATCAACTGGACATCAATAACCTTGGGAATTGTGATGGCGGCTAGTTCCACTGTGCTGGGGACACGTGACAAGGCGTCTGCAGCTCTGTTTTCTCTCCCCGGTCTATACTGAATCTTGAATTCATATCCCAGTAGCTTGGTCACCCATTTCTGAAATTCTAGAGGAATGACTCTCTGCTCAAGGAGGAATTTAAGGCTGCGCTGATCAGTGTGGACTGTGAACTTTCTTCCCTGGAGATAATGTCGCCATTTTTGGATAGCGAGCACAATTGCCATCAATTCCCTTTCGTAGACAGATTTGTATTGTGATTTGGCCGACAATACCTGACTGTAATATGCGATGGGCCGTTGTTCTTGCATGAGTACTGCTCCCAAACCGTGGCCTGAAGCATCTGCTTCGATGATGAAGGCCTTAGAGAAATCGGGAAGGGCTAAGACAAGGACCGTCGTCATAGCTGATTTCAGTTTCTGGAATGCTGTTTCTGCCTCCCCATTCCATCCAAAGGCGTCCTTCTTGAGTTGTTGGGTCAGTGGCCAAGATATTGCCCCATAACCTGCCACAAATCTTCTGTAGTAGCCAGTCAAGCCCAAGAAGCCCCTTAATTCTCTGAGATTGCGGGGGGTAGGCCAATGCACCATTGCTTCTATTTTGTTTGGTTCGGCCGCCACTCCTTCGGCTGACACCAAGTGGCCCAAGTATTCAATCTGCCGTTGGGCGAAGATGCACTTCTTCGCATTTGCATACAGCTGATGGGCGGCCAGAGAAGTAAACACCATCTCCAAGTGTTGCTCATGCGTAGGGATATCTTTACTATAGACTAAAATGTCGTCGAAGAAAACCAGCACGAACTTCCTTAAATAGGCCCTGAAAATCTGATTCATTAATGATTGGAACGTTGCCGGTGCGTTGGAGAGACCAAAAGGCATGACAAGGAACTCATAATGTCCCTCATGCGTCCTAAATGCAGTCTTATGAACATCCTCCTTTCTGACTCTGATTTGGTGATATCCCGACTTGAGGTCAAGTTTAGAGAATACAGTAGCTCCATGGAGCTCATCCAATAACTCATTGATCATGGGAATGGGAAACTTTTCTGGGACCGTCACTTTATTTAAAGCTCTGTAATCTACGCAAAACCGCCAACTACCATCTTTTTTCTTGACGAGTAGTACGGGGCTAGAGAAGGGGCTGACACTGGGCTGAATAATCCCAGCATTTAACATCTCTCGAACCAGTCGTTCAATCTCGTTTTTCTGGATATGGGGATATCGGAAAGGCCTGACACTAATTGGTTCAACTCCCTCCTTTAATAGAATTGAATGATCTATGTCTCGGTTGGGTGGTAACCCCTGTGGCTCTTTAAACACCTGCTGGTGTGTCTGTAATAACGTCTGTACTCCCTTGGGCAACTCCACCCTATCTCCCATCTCAGTAGTTGGCTCGTCATACTCTACCCAGATTCCCTGCCCTTCATTTTGTAATGCTTTCACCATGGCCCTTAACGAGACCCTAGATTTATTAAGTCCTGGGTCCCCTTTTAACGTCATCAAAGTCTCGCCGATTCGAAATCTCATGGTGAGAAGTTTCCAGTTCACTTCCATATTACCCAAACTCCCCAGCCATTGCATCCCAAGAACCACGTCTGTATTTCCTAACTCCAAAGGTAAGAAATCTTCGACTACAGTCAAGCCCTGCAATTCCAAAACCACACCTTTACAGATTCCCCTTCCCTTCACTGACTTGCCCGTTCCCATCACCACCCCATAATTCGTTGTTGCTGTGGTTGGAATTTCCATCTTCTGGACAACATCTACGGATATAAAATTGTGGGTTGCCCCACAATCGATTAGCACAGTTACTATACTTGAGCCTACCTTCCCCTTCAATTTCATGATGCCTGGGGTAGTTAGCCCAACCACCGAGTTTAATGATAGTTCTACCTTATCTGCTACTTCGAATGGTCGTGCCGCCTCCGAATCATCAACGGTTTCTTCGTCATCCTCCCCTTCAACCAACAAAATCCGTAGCTTGCGATTCTTGCACTGGTGACCCACGGTAAACTTCTCATCACATCAGAAGCAAAGCCCCCTGTCGCGCCTCATCTGCCATTCCGCGTCCGACATACGCTTGGTCGGACGTTCGCGCCGGTCGTCGACCGGCTTCTCCCCCATCGTGACAGTTTTGATAGGGAAAGTCGACTTTGGCTTCCAACGATTTGGGAGTATTTTGGGGATCCTGTGGGCTGTTGGGTCCTTTACTTCCTTGATTATGGAGTTACGGTCTTCCACTTTTTGGGCCAACCCCATAATCTGGCCCAATCCTTTTGGCCCCAGTATCCTGATTTCGGCCCTTATTTCTGGCTTGAGCCCATTAACAAAAGTGCTTTCTATCACTTCGTCTGGTATCTCCTTTAGCGGGGCAGCCAATACTTCGAACTCCCGCCGGAACTCAGCCACCGTGTCCCTTTGTTTGATCGCCAGAAACCTCACACAAATGCTACCCTCCTGCGTCGGCCGGAAACGCAGCAACAGCTACTGTCTGAACTGTCACCAGTTTTGAAACGGAGCTCGAGCCTCCGTCCATTGAAGCCAGGAAAGTGCGTCATCGTCGAGGCTCACCCCTATCGCCCCCAGTTTCTCCTGCTCAGTGAGGCCATTAATGTCAAAATATCTTTCGGCCCTGAATAACCATCCGTCCGGGTCTACTCCGCTGAAAATGGGCATCTCGAGTTTTCGAATGCTTCGCCAATTTTCACCTCTGTCCAAGCTTCCGCCGAAACTTGCCTCGCCTGTTCCCTCTGGCCATTTACCACGCTCTAGACTGCATTGTTCGCCCTTGCTTGCCGGAGGGTTACTTGGTGGCAGTAATGCCTCGGTAACATTGCTGGATCCTTCTTTCTCCATATTTCTGCCTGTTCAAGTTTTTGGGTTCGCCATAGTCACCACTGTCCTTCTAGTTTCCTCCATGGATTGTAGTATCATGGCCATGCTTTGAGTTAACTGTTCTACAGATTTTGCTAACCCCGGGAGCTGCCGCATTTCACCCTTCAATTCTTCGATTTCTTTTTCCATTGCTTCTACCCTTCCATCGGTTTTCTTTTGGGCCATCAGGATTTTGTTGCTTTGATACCAATTTGATAGGATTCCAAAAGAACACTCAATCTGAAATGGAAATTAATTCGGATATATTGCAGAAATTACAAGTAAATGGACTAATACGGGACTCCTATGCCTTACTTAATAATTGCCTGCTATCTTTACCTTAAGCCCCCCTATTTATAACCTGTTTCTAACAAACTTATTCCCCTCCCCACATGCTCCTAAACAGAATTTAGTTATCCCTTGTGCCAGCTGATTTTCCCCCCTTCTTGAATCTTCTAGAATAGGTGAAGTGGACGGGGGGCCTAACAGAATCATTATTACAACATCCATTCATGGTAGGAGATCCTCATCAACCTCTTTTCCTCATTAGTTTCATTATCCATTGCTCATTAGTTAACCATTCGTATTTTACTATGATATAATGACAAGCAAATTTTGTTTGCTTTACTTTTTTCACAATAACAATTCATTGTTTGCAGATATTTGCAAGATGCATTCAAGGTGCCGCTTGTAATACAGTTGACGGATGATGAGAAGTGCATGTGGAAGAATTTGACAGTGGAGGAAAGCCAGAGGCTTGCTCGTGAGAATGCTAAAGATATAATTGCTTGTGGATTTGACGTTTCGAGAACATTTATTTTCTCCGATTTTGATTATGTTGGTGGGTGAGTATTTTGACTTTCAAGTTCTATTAAGTCTTTGTTGCTTTAGTCCAAATTTAAGTAAAATCAATGGTTGTTCTTTTATTGTATGTACAATAAATTGCTTCCACGTAGCTATGATGTATTCATTTATTGTCGTCTAAATATTTGTCAATTAGGAATTCTTGATATGATGATGGATAACAATCACTTCTTACAACGTCTAAAGATCATTTATTCATTATAACCTATAGAAACATAAAATCAACATATCATTACTCTTACGAAATGCATAGCAATGAGATAAGGTAAATGTGAAGAACACAAGTATATTGATATTCTAATAAAAAAATATGTTTACTTACATAAGCTTGGAAAATAATTATCTTTCTAGTTTTCCTCTTCAGTTTGATCCTCCAACAATTTCTTCAATAGTATAACAGGCAATAAATATTGATTGATCAAAAATTAATTGCTCATTGAATTATAGCTAGAAAGTTGCTCTACGATTAATCATGGTGTTTGAAGCGCAATCTTTATTTGAATTTTTAGACTATCTTTTATTCCCTCCTCTTCTCCTCACTTTAACCTTCTTAGTTTGAATTTAATGAATGACGAGATGACAAAAATATTTGATTTTCTATTCAGACTTTTGATGGAAAAACCAACTGATGTAGGATGAATAAGAAAGAAAGAAGAAGGAGAAGGGAGGAGAAGAGAAGAAGGGGAACCGGGGGAAGAAGAAGAGGGGAAAGAACGGGGCTATCGCCAATTTTTATTCAATCAATTCATTAACTTCAATTACAATGTAAAATAGGTTTAAATACTGAAAATACTGCAAACCTAAAAAACCTGAAAGATAGGGCCAAGCCCATTACACAAGTCCATAAAAATAAAATAACCCAAGTCCAACTAAAATAATAAAACTGGGATGTCCTCATCAATTCTCCTGAGGTGGGAGAGAAAACTCGACCCTGTCGAGTGGCTATATCACTATAGGCTTCTGTCAATCTCTCAACCATAAGCTAAGTGGTTGGGCAAGCTTCTTCCGGCGTCTGTAGAAATGCGGCATAGGCGGTCTGAACCTGGTGTCCTCACCAACTCCCTTCGCGTGGACGGGAGGCGATCTGGGCCAAGGATGATCCTGCTGACTCCAATAAAACTCCAATAAATCTGAATCCAATTGTTGTATTGTCTCCCTGGAGATCCATGCACAGTTAGAATCTGGTCGACCAACCCAATGAACAAGGAAGCGCTGAACCTTTCCATCATTAGTTAACACAGTTTCTTCATCTAAAATAACATCAATTTTTTCTTTGTGTGCTGTGAGAGATGGTAGTGGGTTAGAAGGGGCCAAAGAATCAGGATCAAGGTCCACAAAAGGAGGTGACAGAGGATCATCTGAGGGAATGAAATGGTCTTTATAAGCTACAAGGTCCTCAACATTGAAAGTACAGTGGTAACCAAGGTGTGGTGGAATGTCAACAATATATGCATTTGGACCAACTTGCTTTAAAATTTTAAAAGGACCAGCACTACGAGCTTGCAATTTGGAGGCGGGTCCATGTAGACGCCGCTCTGGCCTAATGCGAACCATAACGTAATCCCCAATGTTAAACTCAATATGTCGTTTGTGTAAATCAGCTTGGAGTTTATATTTTGCATTACTAGCTTCAAGTTGTTTATTGATCTCAATATGCAAGTCACGAAGATGTTGTGCAAGTGCTTCGGCTGATACTGACATTCTAGCCTGTAGGGACATAGGGATGAGATCTAACGGTTTCCTAGGCTTGTACCCAAGAACGGCTTCAAATGGACTCATACCTAATGAACGATTTATGGAGCTATTAGACGCAATTTGAGCTACAGGAAGGATCAAATCCCAATTTCGAAGGTTTTCCCGGACCAGACAATGTAACAGGTTACCAAGACTTCGATTAACTACTTCAGTTTGACCGTCAGTCTGAGGGTGGTAAGCCGTAGAAAATTTCAATTTGGTACCCATCTTATGCCACAAAGTTCTCCAAAAATGGCTAGTGAAACGAACGTCCCTATGGTCTTGGGAAGCCCATACAATTTGACAATTTCATTAAAGAATAACATGGTAACCTTGGACACATCCGACGTCTTGCTACAGGGAATAAAATGAGCCATCTTTGAGAAGCGATCGACAACCACAAAAATAGAATCATGCTTCTTTGGGGTGCGTGAAAGTCGTAACACAAAATCCATACTAACGTCTTGCCAAGAACAATTGGGGACAGGGAGAGGAGTGTATAGACCTGTGTTCTGCTTCTTCTGCTTACTCAATTGACAAGTGTTACAAGTACTAACAATCTTAGCCACGTCTTTCTTCAAGCTAGGCCAATAGAATTGGCGTTCAACTTCCTCTATGGTCTTATCACGTCCAAAGTGACCGGCTAACCCTCCCGCATGGATTTTCCACACGATGAAATCTCGCACTGAAGTTCGAGGGATGCACAATTTATTGGCTCTAAAGAGATAACCCTCCTCAAGTCGGAAGCCATCTGTGGTTCCTGATTCTCCCCTTTGTAAATTAAGAAAGATATCTTTAAAATCGGGACATGCCTCGTAATCCTCCTTAAGTCTTTCAAAATCGATGACCTTGACACTCATGATCGACAAAAGGGAGACACGACGACTTAATGCGTCAGCTACTTGGTTTTCCACGCCCTTCTTGTGTTTTAAAACAAATGAATAGGCCTGCAAATATTCGACCCAACGACCATGCCTAGAACTTAATCTTTCTAGGAATTAAGGTAACGGAGGGCTTCGTGATCCAAATAAAGGACAAATTCCTGGGGCAACAAATAGTGGCGCCAATAGCGCAAAGCCTAGACCACCGCATACAGTTCCTTATCATAAGTTGAGTACCGCTGTTTGGCTTCATTTAACTTCTCACTGAAGTAGGCAACTGGGTGACGATCCTGACTCAAGACTCCGCTTATACCTACCCCGGAGGCATCACATTCAACTTCAAAGACTTTGGAAAAGTCGGGAAGGCGCATAACAGGAGCCTCCGTCATTCGCTTCGTGACTAACTTAAAGGCCTTAGCCGTCTCTTGTGTCCAACGAAACTCCCCTTTCTTCATGCACTCCGTGATAGGCGTCATAATAGTGCTAAACCCCCCTTAATAAAGCGACGGTAAAATGTAGCTAAGCCGTGAAAGCTTCTGACGTCATGAATAGCATTAGGCTCAGGCCAGTCAATAATCGTCTGAACCTTAGCAGGATCAGCAGATACTCCTGTCGAAGAGACAATGAAACCTAAAAAAACGACAGTATCGGTGAAGAAAGAGCACTTCTTGACGTTAGTATATAGATTAGTTGCACGAAGGGTAGAGCAGACTTGTGTGAGGTGGTCAAGGTGTTGCTCCTTAGTCTTACTATGGATGAGGAGATCATCAAAGTAGACAACAAGAAACTTTCCCATGAAAGGTCGGAGAGTTTGTGTCATTACCCGCATAAAGGTACTTGACGCATTACTTAGCCCAAAAGGCATGACCAGCCATTCATAAAGACCATCTTTCGTTTTAAACGCGGTCTTCCACTCATCACCTGGGCGAATTCGAATCTGATGGTATCCACTCTTCAGATCAATCTTCGAAAAGATTGTGGCACCAACCATCATATCTAACATATCGTCAAGTTTAGGAATGGGAAAACGATACTTCACCGTAATCCTATTGATCGCGCGACTATCCACACACATCCTCCAAGAGCCATCCTTTTTGGCGTCAATAGGGCGAGGACAGCACACGGGCTTAAACTCTCACGAATGAATCCTTTGTGAATGAGGTCATCCACTTGCCTTTAAAGTTCAGCGTGCTCGGTAGGATTCATCCTATAATGAGGCAAATTTAGGAGGGATGCCCCTGGGATGAAATCTCTGGCATGTTGAATATCCCTTAGTGAAGGTAGATGATCAGGTAGGTCCTCCGGAAAGATGTCTCGAAACTCTTGGAGGATCAACTGGATTTCAATAGGGCTCTCTATTGTGGAGTGGGATGGAACCTCCATGACCACCAAAGCGAACACAACTGAGTCACCAACACGTGTACGCTCAAACTCCCTAGGACTAATGATGTGCAATCCCTTTCGTTCCACACTCTTCTTCGTTTCCAGTGGGCCAACAGACTTTGGGGGCAGTGAGTTAAGGTGAATCTTCTTTCCATTAAACACGAAGGAGCAGGAATTGGATCGACCATAGATGGTTACATTTAGGTCAAATAACCAAGGTCGTCCCAAAATGATGTGCCCGACATCCATTGAAATGATGTCACACCATATATGGTCCTTATACTCGAGAAACTGGATAGAGACTAAACAACGCTCCTTGACAGCTATAGAGGAGGTATCAACCCAAGAGACGCTGTATGGCTGAGGGTGAGGAACAGACTTCAACCCTAGACGGGATACAGTAGCCATCGAAACCGCATTAATGCAGCTGCCATTATTTACGATAACTTTACAGCCCTTATTATTAATCTTGATGTAAGTGTGGAAGATGGCAAGACAGCGTCAATCATCGGCATCTCTAAGTTGGGTAAGAGTGCAACGGACGACACCGACTTTAGGCGTATGTGGGATAAGGGGACTAGCCTGAATACAACCTAAGAAGGTATCTTCACTATCCTCCAAGTCATCAAACTCTTCTAACTTAGGCTCATAAACCTAGTCCTCTAGTGGCTCGTCAACTATACCTTCACGCTCTTCCAAAACTAGGGCTCGGCTAGGACACTTAGAAGCAATGTGACCAAAACCCTTAAAGTTGAAGCATTGCAAACGAGAGGACGTTCTTGAAACCTCTGAACCTCTACCTTTGCTATCCGATGTAGGGGTAGTATTAGAAGGAGGAGGTTCGAGAATAGACTTAGGGGATGGAGTGGATGCAGAAGAGGTCGCAGTACGGGAGTCACTACGATTTCTGTACGGTGTCCTGGTCACTAACTCGTAATCCCGAACGAAAGAGTAGGCGTGGTCAAGAGTGGTGACACCTCTAAGAATAAGCTCACGCCTAAGTTCGTCTCTTAGGCCTTGCCTAAACCTACTCAAAGTCATGACCTCATCCTCAACGATCTGACATTTCATTTGAAACTCATCAAACTGAGCAACATATTCGGTCACAGGCCGACTACCTTGTGTAAGTGCGTTCCATTGATCTAGCAAGTTACCCCTGTAAGATTGAGGTAAATATTTTTCTTGAAGACGACGCTTCATTTCATCCCAGCTCGAGGGAAGAAGAAGAGGGGAAAGAACGGGGCTATCGCCAATTTTTATTCAATCAATTCATTAACTCCAATTACAATGTAAAATAGGTTTAAATACTGAAAATACTGCAAACCTAAAAAACCTGAAAGATAGGGCTAAGCCCATTACACAAGTCCATTAAAATAAAATAACCCAAGTCTAACTAAAATAATAAAACTGGGATGTCCTCGTCACCAACACATGAAAAGTGATTCACACTTTGATTTTCTATGTATAAAACTGTAATAAGTATGGTATGAGTACCTATTTTCCGTTTCATATAGCGGGTGAGGTAATGGGTTTGTTTAGGTTTGATGTGGATCCTTAATGGAAAACTCTTCTATGATTGCAAAATTACGATTCAAACCTACTCTAAGGTGTGCCTCATATTAAGGCAGTATAAAAATACTGGAGGCACATTCTTTTAGCTCATTAATGAGGCATAAGCCTTAATTGATTGAGTTTTGCACCTCACTGCTCACAACTCAAAGGAATCTGAGATGTCTTGTCCAATATTTGACCTTTTAAATCTTCCATCATGGTATACTTAGCTCTTCGCGGCCATAGCTATTTTAGTCTCCCTCAAATGACAGCATTCCCAGAGTGCAATAGATGACACATTCAAAAATATTTTAAGGTAAAATGTAGAAAATCGACAATATTGGAAGAGAAGATGTCATGATCTGGTATAAGTATTTAGAAGCTTCACTTATTTTTACACAAGTACTATCTATTGTTACTCGAACCTCTGTTTGGATACTTTACAAATGAGCCTTCATGACCTTATATAACTACAACTCATTTGAATTGATGATGGATTTATCATATTCAACAACTAGGAATATCGCATTAGAATTCTGGAAACATTCTAGTCATATTCTTAAAATGCCTCCTACATTGTCATGGATCATTCTAGACTTCTCTTAGAATATTCCAACTCCTTCTCTTCAGAGAAAGCTCTGGAATAATTTCCGCACAATGTTCAGCATCCTTCTAGAGTCATCCGTGAATTTTTTTTAAAGTCTCCCCAAACATGTGGGGTCAACCTTGGTGCATAGTTGCGTCCCTTGTGTCCAACCTTCTCACGTGCACGTGCCTGCCTTATGCTTGGCTACGTTCCATGGCGTGCTTACTATGTTCCTTTATCAGCATAAGAATTAAGCTATGACCTGCGCAGTATGCTTTTCCCCCTTTGCATCCAGCATGCTCTGTTCCATGTCTTGCTTTTGTCGCTCTTTCAACTTCCTGCTGCTGGTACTTCATCACCCAACCCACGGCCTTTGTATTGTGAACTCCTTGTGCATTCTTGGGTGCAATCTTCGGCTGCTCTGGTGTGTCTTCACCTGGTTGACGCATGGGTGTGACAATGTGCTCCTCATTTAATCATTGATGCTTTTGTGGGCTCAGCTACAAATGGTGGGTCTAACTAACTTTAAACATGTACTGTAATTTTTAAAGCTAAAAAGGCTGGGCCGGGCTAATTCAAACCCTGTTTTTTAGTTGTGGAATCTACATGAACTAGGCACAACTAATTTAAAAGTTATTTCAAACCTACAAAAGCTAGTCAGCATTAATTTAAAATCAGTTTTTTAATGGTTAAGGCCGATTAGAAAGTTAAACACTGTTACAACTGTCATAAATCACAATCAACCTAACTATAACAGATATTAATTAAAAGATAAACATATCTTAGTTTGAAAGTTAACCACTTAATAAAATTATGATAAACAATACACTTATTATGAATGTTTGCATCTTGAAATGTCAATGGTATGATGACTGTATGGGATTTTCACTTGTCTAATTGGCCATATTGTAAACTTGCCATTCTCTGACTGAATTCACACTGTTGGTTCTCTATATAATAGTTTGATTTGTTATTATGTATATGTATCACATCATCATGTTTTGAATTTTTTACTTTTGTTGTATCATTGAACTATCCTTGCTTTTGGTTAAGATTTGTCAATTATTTCCCCCACTGTAATAATTATTCCACTAATCATATTTTTAATGTTAACCAAACTCAGTGAAACCTAAAAGGCATGTATGAACGTCTATGTTGCTTTCATTATTTACTTAGTGTTATCTCATTAGTTTTTGGGTGTTTCTTTATTAGTAGCTATTAAACACTTGCATACTTTCAGGCTGCTCCATCCTTTCCAAGTTCATTTCCGCATCTCTTCTCTGTTAAAGATGATCTTCGCTGCTTGATTCCTTGTGCGATCGACCAGGTTTAGTCTCTGTCCTGGTCAGTTTTTTTTTTTTACTAGATTCTGATTATAATGTCAAATGAAATTGCTAGCAGATTCTTAATCAAATTTTAAAAATGAGAAGGGTTGATGGTGTTTTAACTGGTAACTCCATCTGTTGATCATCACAGATGAAGGAAATTTGAATGTATCTTACATCGTCTTGATCTATGGCTACATATTTGTAAATGTGACAACTGCACTGTACTACAAATGATATGACATTTAAGTACTGTGGCATAATGAACTTCGTTCTGCATTATCCTTCTGTGCTGTTTGCTTACGACAATTTTCCTAGAATACTAAACATTTTCCATGAAGATCGCTGCCTCGGGTCCTGAGAGTAAAGTTGCTTTAGTAGTTCACTAGCTCTACAATCTCCCAAGTAACTAAATGTAATTCACATTTGACTTTGTAGTTGATATCTTCAAGATTCTTGTCTTTTTGAAGTAACTGATCTACTGAAAAGTGTTTTGAGGTTTGGTATTTGTATGATTTGTTTTTGGAGAAACACCTGCAGGCATCCTCTATCTATTTTATTTATACAGACCTGTTTGGAACTAATTAATAAATAATTTTTGATGTATAGTTCTGATATATCTTAATATTTTATGAGGTATATGGAATGCTAAAAGTCAGACGTTACCATAGGTCAGGTCGATGTAGAAGTATTATTGGTAACATCTGAAAATGTATATTCATGATTCATTTCTTGATGCTGTTAAATTTAGACGCTAACTTTTAGGCTGTGGAGACAAGTCTTTAATTAATCACTTTTACTGTTCTTAATAAACAAAGTCCACTGTATGCTTGAAAAGAGGCACAATATGATTCATCTGAAGTATTATATATAGGCTCGATATCCTAGATCTGTTGTTCTTTTTTGACATTAACTTTAATTTTTTTGATTTTTCAGGATCCTTACTTCCGAATGACGCGAGATGTTGCTCCTAGAATAGGTTATCACAAGCCTGCTCTGATCGAGTCATCATTCTTCCCGGCACTTCAGGTTTCTCTATGTTTTCTTATTAATATGCATGTTCATACCTTGGAGATAAATTGTTATAGTTCTGTATGTTTAGCCCATGTTTGACCCCCATTTTTGGGGAGAAAATGTGTTTTGGAATAGTGAATTTTTTGAGTGTGGTTGAAAATGAATTTTGAAAAAAATGAGTTTTTGAAAAAATGGAGCCCAAACATGAGCTTAATTTACTGCTGAAAATGATCACGTCGTTTTCTTTGAGGTAACTTTTTGCTGTTTTATTGGTGAAGCCTCTATTATTTACCTCTTTTGTGGTTTCTGAATTAGTTTCATAGATGCTGGCACTTTTCGAAGGCTAGGATTAGTAACCTGCCTTTTAACACCTCTTATGATCATTCATTTTATCTTCACTTGTGATTGTTGTTCAGTATATTGTTTGGCTCGCTATAAATGAATTGAGTATGAACGGAAAAAGGAATGTTCGGATAAGATTTCTTAATATTTTAGATGGTAGAACTCGTCTTTTTGACAATCATGCAGTCTTTAATTATTAAAAGGTTTTTGTTTCTCCAATTCACTCTGCAACATAGTCAATTATTTCTTTTCTATAAATTATCCTTTAAACTGTATTATATATCTGCAGGGAGAAACAGGGAAAATGTCTGCCAGTGATCCAAATTCTGCTATTTATGTTACTGATTCTGGGAAGGATATAAAGAACAAGGTTTTTCTTTTCTCTTTAAACCAAGTTCTTCGTAAATGTCTTTCATTTACTACTCATAGTAACTGTATTTGAATACTACATTTGTATCGCTGTTCTCCTGATAGAAGGGCAGACACGATGCATAAATCTTCTGCACAACTCATATGTCTAAATGATAATCTGTGATTTAGGTAGGAACATTTCCAAGAAATTGAATGTTTACGAGCTTTAGTCTTCCTACATTTTGTTTTCTGCTATCTGATGTGGTTTCAGTGAAAAGGAAAATATATTATGGCTTGACCGTGATTCATCTGTTTTAAAGTCAGGGTGTTTAATTTGTTCTTTAACTTGCTTTCATGCTTGTGCAAGAAATTCCTTCAAAGTCAGAATCTGTGTTGAAATATTCATTGGGTTGTTTCTTAGAAGTTATGTTGTTTTCATTCTCAACTATTAGTGTTTATTAACTGAATTCATACCTTAAAAGTGCACCATAAACTGGAACATGTTAATAAATTGTTTTTAAGAGAGATTTTTAGACTGAAAGAAGGATATGCATAATGATTTGTTTTAGATATTAGTTAATAAAACTTTGCCAGTCATTTCTATCTTTCTATTTTTATATAGTAATTAAATTTTAATGTTTATTATACTCATTCACCTAAATAAAGTTCTATTGGAGTTCCAACCTAAATAGTCATGTTGATGGAAACCTCCTGAATGATTACTTTACTTGCTTTCTTCATCTACTTCTGCTAACAAATGTTGTATATAGATAAACAAATACGCATTCTCTGGTGGCCAAGATTCTATAGAGAATCACAGGAAGTATGGAGCAAACCTTGAGGTATTACCATTTTTATCCCAGTTCATATTCTAAATGGATATTGAAGTAACCTGTGTACAAATCTTGACTAGTTTCCCACCACCTGTTCATTAGTATGAACTTATGCTTTGTTTGCAGGAGAGTTACTGTTTGTCATGGTTTATTATCTTTTTTGCTTACTTATTATTTGTTTGTGATGGAGGAGTACTGATCTCTATCTCTTCTTGGACTTTATTAGGTAGACATACCCATTAAATATCTTGGTTTTTTCCTGGAAGATGATGCTGAACTTGAACACATCAGAAAGGTGAGACAGTAATGTGATGGACTCCGTAGCATTTTCTTTTTTGGTGATATAAACAATAATTTTCATTTAATCTTGTTGTGTTGCAAACAACAACGTACTTCCATTTTTCAAATAATGCTCATGTTATCATTTATCAGGAATATGGTGCTGGCCGTATGCTAACGGGTGAAGTGAAGAAGCGGCTTATTGAAGTTCTAACCGAAATGGTTGAAAGACATTGTAGGGCTAGAGCTGCCGTTACAGACGAGGTAACTGATTAGTTCCTATTATTAATTGTTGCCATTGTAGTTAGGTTAGACTGATTTTTCTAAAAGTTTATTGCGGATAAACCTATTGTGATTTTGTAGTGTTAGTAGTTGTGGAACCTCAAAACCATAATTACAGGGATCATAAAGATATAGTGATTCTCATAATCTTGTGATATTTGGCTAAAGAAACCACAAAAAATAATCTGGCTTTATATGGTTAAGTATACGTTGATTGGGTGCATTTATTTATTATTATTTTTTTTTTTGGCTGATAATGGTGGCTTAGGAAAAAATAAATTCTCTATCAACTAAATAATTCATCCAACTTACAAAAGAGTGAACTCCAATAATTAGACTGAAATTATTAGCGGAGCTATTAGTTGGTTATCTATTGGATTTGTTTTATTTAATTGGGTAGTCAGCACCAAAAAGACTAAAGGTCCGTTTGATTGGAGTGAATTTCATGGAAAATGTCACATTCGAGGAATTCGTTTTCTATTTTGGCTGTTTGATATGAAAGTGAAAATAGAGTTCGAATTCCAAGGTACAAACACTTAAAGCATGTTTTGACCAGTTTCATGGAAAATGTATTCCTATGGTTTTGATGAGTTTTTCTTTTCCAACTTACATAGAATTGATTTGCTTTTTCTACCTTTGCAATCAAATGGTCCCTAAGTTCTTCTTACGTAACTTCAGACATTTTTCTTTTTGTTTTAACTTTATATTCCTACCTTTGTTTATTTTTATAATCTTCTGATTTAAAAAGATTAAAAATTTCAATTCACATTGCTTATAACCAAGTTGGATGCTAAAATTTGGTTTCAATGTACTTTAGAAGAGGGAGCTCTAAATTGATATGAATAACAAAAAATCCTTGTCGCTAACCCGAGATTTTATTGGTAATAATTTTATCTATATAAAGCCATAGAAGTGAACCAGAAAAAGTTGGGTATGGGTAAAGAGCAAAAGACGCCAATGTTTGTATAAATGCTTTGAAAATACGTAAAAAAATAGGAGAACTCGTTTTAAGTAAAATTCTTTTTTTCTTTTTCTTTTTTTCCTTAATTCGTCTATGATCTTGTGGAGACATGTTCATTTAGTGCTCCATCATCCTTGTAGTAGGAAGTTTGATACTACTCTGAGTTCATTTTAATTTTATTTGTTCATCACAGCATGTTCTCTAATACTTATTTAGATAACAAATTTTCAAATCTAGCAAATTTTCACTCACAATAATTTCTTAAAAGGGAGTAAATGACTATTTTCAAATTTATACTTACACTTTGATATCAGGATAGTGATTTTAGTACATGAACTGGAGTTTGTTACCTGAAAATTTTATCAAGAGAAATTGTAAGCATAATTGTGATTACTGAATATCACTTCATAGATTGCTGATATCACAGATTAAAGTAACTCTCTGTAGATTTAATTCTCAGTAAAGGTAAATTGTATGATGACAGCTGCAACCTAAGTATTTTCCTCTATGTGTTTTTCTTGAAACTAACCCGCACATATGATTGATGCCATCTTGGTTGAATATGTTAGACGAGGGAGAGGCAGACCGAAGTTAACATGGTTTGTGGTAGTTGCTAAAGAAGAGTCTAGTATATCTAGCTATGAATGGAACTAACAAGTGTAAGAGGCTTCATGTAGCCTATTTCAACTTTATTGGGAAGAGGACTTAGAATGTATGTTTTTCCTCAAACTAGCTGAGCCTTCGTGTATTTTTATGATGTAATTTTCTTTTGCCATTTTAATGTATTTACATTCCTTTTCTCATGCAGATGGTAGATGTGTTCATGGCAATACGGCCACTTCCCAATATGTTCAACTAAATTTGCGGCTACGATAAATCCGAATGATCAACGTGAAGAACACTTGAAACACACCAACCATTTTTTTATGCAACATTTATTGATATTTACCAGGCAATTGTATTTCATGCACCCTTAATTTCTAGATCAGTACAGAATAGAAGAAAAGATATGAAAAGAACAGAATTTCCATCAATTTTTTGTCTGTCTGCTATTATATTTTAACAGTGCTGCAGAAGATGCTGTTCTTGACATGCTTTAAAAGCATTGATTTGGACAGAAGAATGTGTTCTCCTTTTATGTGGCATTTGGATATGCTGAATATGTCATTAAACAATGAATATCAAAGGGAATCGCATGTTAGATAATGTAACCTTATAGCAAATTTTGATAAAAGTTGATGAAATGTGTGATTGAAAAATTGTGGGTCCCATAAATATATGATTAAAATTAATTATTGATATTTGACACCCTTTTCGTTTATATATGTTGATATCTCCCGTGCGTACACGTAGACCAACTCCTATAGAATGGTCTAATGATTAAGATAACTTCTCTTCATGACACCGATTTCCATTGCACCAGGGTCCTTTTCGGTGTCAATCTTTTGGGGTCGTTTTCGTTGCTTGGGAAAGTTGGGCCCTCATTGTTTATTATGGCTTGTGGATTTTTCTATTTTCATATTTCTTATTATAGCAAAATACAATGCTAGGCAAAGTTGGGTCCTGATTTTTTTATTATGGCTTGTGTGTTTTTCTAATTTAATATTTCTGCTTATTAGAAAAGTACAATGCTGGGCATATTGTTATGAAATAAAATACAAGATTGGGAGGAACTTACCCAATAAAAAGTTGAGATTGTGAGGGAGATTGTATTGTGAGATTTTGTAAGTTGATCGATTATTATTCTCCTATAATTGTTGCCGATTCTACGTTAAGCTTCTTAGTTTATATAAAAAAAATAAAAATAAAAATATCCAAATATATATATTCAGGACAGCATGAACGATTTGGCATCTAAAAACTCTATTTTTTTTATTTTTTTTATTAAATTATATAAAATTCTTAACTTTGGTTATAAATGATTGGGGTGTAACAATTATGCAAACATCCATAATAATGAAATAATTTTCTTCATATAGTGGTGATGCGCCTGTGTGGGTCACTGAAGCACTGCTTAGTATTATGACCTTTATATTTGGAGAAAATTCCATGTTTAAAGAGATAAGATTGTCTAAGTTTGATTGGCATCTGATAGCATACATTTTGCAAAAGTATTAATATTATATTGGCCACCAACAAATGAATCGTCTCTGTCGGGTCAAGCCTGTAATTACTTTTGGTCACAAGTCATTCTCTTTTTATTTAGTATATTTTTTAGAAAAATTAATGAAATATGTAGTTAAAAAATTATAGATACCATAAAATATGTTTTTTGGCTTTGATTTTATTAAAAAAATTAATTTTAATTTTTATCAAACAGGCTAATTGTCTTAATTGAAAACAAATTATTGTA